CCCCCCCCCCCCCCCCCGCCCTTTCTCTTCAGCTGTTTTAAGTAATTCTGTTGTGAAATATTTAGGGCAGATACTTCCTCTGTCATCATTGTAAATACTACTCCGTGATCTACATTGCTCTTCAGTAATCTCTTTTTATTCTCCATTCAAACCACTCTTTCTAGCCTGGTATTCTTAAAAAGGGCCTAAGCCGATTGGAAAAGCATAAGAGGCGATTTGCAGAACAGAAACGACTCAGCAAAGTGCACCGTGCTGTCAAGTTCAGCATTGAAGGCAACAGGATGCCCCTGTAGTCCTGGCCCTACCAGAGTGTATCCGGGAGGTATCCCCAAGGAAGCATGCTCTGTGCATGGGCTTGAATTGTCAGCAGCTAGAGTGAAAACAAGTGTGCGTGTGCTTTCTTAACCAGAAAAGGCCTGGCCCACTTTTAGTTACTGAAGTAATGAACTTAACAAACACTTTGTGACTTTCAAGTCCTACTGAATGTTTAGAAATGGATATGGAAGTCCCTTCCTTTATTGGTACCCCAGGAATTCATATATAATTAAGTCCCTGATGAGCATTTGGTCTTCCTCTTACCCATTTTTATTGAAAATGCTTTTTTAGGGTCCAGGATCATAGCGGTCTGCATTACAGGCATGTGAATGTGAATGTAGCTTCTTAGTGGAAGGGAGGTGGCTTTTTCCCACATTGTCTGTGTGCATTTGAGGGCCCAGTGCATAAAGCCTTGCACTGAACACTTAGGAGATAAATTTGATTGATGGTCAGAAATGAAAGAGTTGGGACCGTTCCTGCAGCCAGACTCACTCCCTGCTGTGCTCTGAGGTTAACAGCAGTGCCTTGTGGCAGGGTGCTCTGAAGAGTCTGAGTGTGTTGCCTTCTTGTGACTTCTCTGGGACCCCTGCTTGGGCAGCTCTTTTCACGGACTACACTCACCTCTGTGCGCGTTCGTTTTTGCCGTTCAGCTGCAATCAAAACAAAGCACACCCTTTCTTTCTTACTGAGAATAGCTGGAAGATAGAAGAGCGCTACTGCTTCAGAGCCAAGAACTTTTTCGTAACTTCCCTCCCCTTTTTTGTACTTTTACCCATAAAAACGTCCCCTGACCTCCCTTCTCTCCCTCAGCCACCCCTCTTTCTTTTACCTGGTTTTCACTGTCTTTCCCTCTTTCTATCCCTCTCCCTGGTAGTTTTTCCTCCCCAATATACTTACTTTTGAGAATTGAGAACCACAATCTGGCAAAGAAATTATAATACAGAGTCTCAGTGGCCACTCTTCTTTGGAAGCCTGTCGGTGTTTTGAAGGGCATGTGCCCTCCTCTCCCAGTATGTGACGGAGAGGCAGGAAGAGAGAAGTGACCAGCAGGAGGAGAGGGAAACTTAAGCTGAATTCCTTTCCTTCATCCCACACCCCCCAGGTCATAATGTGCCAGTATTTACCTAGGCCTGAGTCTGGCTGATAGAGTTCTGTCAGAAAACAAATACGGCATGATCCAGAAAGCTGGTGGTTTCATGTTACATTTTAGGATGTTGTCCTTAAACCACCTGATACCGTTTCCCCAGTTCAGGATGAATCCTTACAGATTCACTCAGGGCTTTCACGAACCACAGAGACACAAAGAGTACTATTAGAAAACGTATTTTCCAAGAAGAAAATTGGAGTGAGTAAATGGCTTTCAAATGAAATGCTCGTTGTTTTAAATGTCATTTTTATCTTTGAAATTACATAAGTGAATATAAAAGACTATAGAATAACCCATCCCCAAAACCCTGCTCTTCCTTAGAGTCCCCACTATTAACAGTTTGATGTGTTAAATGTATTTCCAGTAATGTTTCAAAGTTGGTTTTTTTCTGGTTGTAATTATAGAAAAATTTGAGATTAGAAAGGGAAATTGCCCACAATTCAAAAGCAGTTTGATACCATTTTTGCCCTTTTTTTCTATTGATACTTTCATATAATTACAATTATTCTGTATATAATTTTGGTCACTTCTCCTCGTTAAACCACCTTATAGTTTTATCACTTATAATGGATGCCTAATAGCCTATCATGTGAATATATAATTTGTTTATTTATTCCTCTGTGGTTTCTGATTTTTCACTCCTAAATAATGCAGCAACCTATACTACATTGTATGTTTATATGTTAATTTATTCCATGGAGTGCTTTTAAGATAACACTAAAATGACAAAAAGCAATGTATGTTTTTTATAACCTTTTAAATGCAGAAAGCACAAATAAAATTACTGTCAGTTGTAATTCCACCACACCTTAATATTAACATTTTGGGTTATTTCCTTTTTGTCCTCTTTATATTGTACATAAACATTGCTGGTTTTGTGCTTTGGTATTTTTGTTTTCAAATTTTATGCAAAATTGTTATTTTATACTTTGTTGGATTTGTGTTTTACTTAACACGGTAAACATTCATTTGAGTAAACATTCTTCAGTGACTTAATATTGTGTCCAAATACAGTCGTACCATAATTTTTTAAAGCAAACCTATCTTGCTGATCTTTTAAGCTGCTTTTGGTTTTTCTCTGATAAAACAGTGCAGCATACACTTTTACTGTCCTAAGGAAGTGGTACAGAGTTGAATCAGGAGAGAGATCACTGAATTTGGCATGTTAGGTACTATATCCTGTGTGTTTCCAGGCTTGGGGAAACTAGGCATCTGCCAGCCACAAGTCTTAAAAGTTACAGGACTAGGTAGGAGTGGATTCGTGTCACCTGGGTATGCCCCATTTGAGGAGGCTAGAGGGCTCAGATTGTCAGGGTCCTGGGAGACAGTATTGGCTGGTGTGTACAGCTGCTGGGAGTTGAGTAATTGGTGCAGATCTGAGCAGGTAAGGCTTCTGATGTGGACTAACTACTAAGAATCAGGGCACATTGTCTGAAAGGAGGTCACATATCTAGGACCGTCTAGGAAATCTGGGGATTTGATAGCGTGAGAGAAGCGTAGTTGTTTCTCATCTGGTAATGAATATTTATGCTAACTCAGAGTCCTAGTGCCAAGTGTTAAATTGATATAAAATAATATTTGGATGTGGGATTGTTTCAGAAAATCTAGGGTGGATGATCTACATGGCTCCTGTTCAAGACTGACAGGAGCTCCTATGTGAGGTACACACTGAGTCTAGAGGTGGAGTGAGATTTGGGGGGCTCCCCAGCTCAAAGGAACATCCCCACACTGGCCCCACCCCCAGAGTGTCTTCTGGGCCCTCCCTTCTTTTAGCAGTCTCAGAATTGAGCTGCACAGATGATTCAGTAGTAAACATCTGGGGAGAAGAATTAGAAAAACTCCTCTATAAACCACTCAACATTCTTAAAGATCAGAATTGTCAGTAACACTAGTCAACAAGAAGAATTGGCTCTGATCTTTGATAGAAGTGGCAGACCTTCTCAGCATTTCTAACAGTATCGATTTCTGGAGACTGCATCTCTTCAAGACGCGTAGTTGTTTCAAATTATGAAAAAAATAACCAAAACCAAATCTTAAAACTAAGAGGCTAGCAGGAACAGATGCAAGAAGTGGTAAGCCCCTTGGATCCAAGGCTTAATTTACTTTTCTTCTTGTATCCAGTATACTTATCATAAATCTGATCCGTCCCAAAGTAGTGGTAATGATGGTAACAGCTGATACTTATTTTGAGCACTGACTGTGTGCTAGTATTTGACAGTATTACCTCATTTACCTCTCCTGGCGGTCCCGGAAGTACAGACCAGGGGCCAGATTTGCCCAGGGCTACAGAACCTGCTGAGGCCAAGCAGAGATTCACTTCAAGTCTGAAACAAGAGCTCCACCGCCTGACGGGTTCGCTTTACTCATCCTCTAACCTCGTTCATCAGGCTTCATGCTTTTTCTCAGGTGACTTTCCTTGCCTCAGAAGATCAGTCATTCTTCATGCCGGCACTGTTTGAAGGTGAATATGACAAGCTGTCAGCTCCATGCTGACCTTTGAAAGGGAAAAGCATACAGTCAGAATCTAATTTGATGGAATTGCAGGGGGGATCATAGTTTAAATCGTCCCTCTTCCATCTAGATATCTATGGACTGAGGCAAAATTTTAAAATAAGGCACAGTTCGTTACTCTTCATTGAGAGAGTTTAACGTGTACATTGCTAACGCTTGCTCTATTCCTGAGGTCACCAAAGCAGATTATGATTATTCCAGAGATAAGAGCCCTTTTTAACTTTCAGACAAACGGAGGTGAAAGGCAAAACTGGATTTGTGTGTTTCAATAATTTGCTCTTTAATTTTTACCCCACTCTTAGTTTCAGGGGACCTCCAAGAAGGGTATCAGTCGACTGGATAAACAGATGAGAAAGTTCACAGATATCAGGAAAAAAAGCAGATCTGCACACGCAGTGAAAATCAGCATCGAGGGCAATAAAATGCCATTGTGACCTTGCCTGGGATGTGTCCCCATCTCTAAGAAATGCGCAATGGACTCTTTGGAGAAAGAAGAGGATATTTTAAATTTTTTTTTTTTTAGTGTTTCTGTAAATGCTTCTGCTTGTATCAAATGTCATAGGACTTGCATTTCTCTCACTTGTATTTAAAACTGTTCGTTGTGTACTTTGTACAGAAGACTACTACTCATACTTCTATAAACTTTACACAATAAAGTTCCATTCTGGTTTTGGGGGGCTGTCTCTTCATTGTCTTAGAGGATCCATTCTCGGGGGGGGTGAAAATTGGTTTTTGGTGAGGGAAAAAAGTCTTAAATATTACAGTGGTTTGTAAACTGTCCGTGTTCAGCCTACCTGACTGTGGCATAATAAGGAATTTAAGGAATTTGTCTGGTCTCTATCTTGGGTTCCTAACAAGGAGCTTCTAAACCGTGTGGGTGGTAGGAATGTCTTTGTGACGCTAATGAGGTGGCTCATGGTAGGCCCCTAGATAGCTTTAGGGTGGGGGCTGTTACCAGAAAGATCCACCATGTAATTTGAGGGTTGAGACTTTGGGCAGGCCTGATGCATGATTGGCGTGAGGGGATTGAGTCCAGTCACGTGCCCAATGATGTCATCGATCATGCCTGCGTAGTGAAACCCCAGTTAAGAACTCTTGACCCGGAAGCTCACTGGGGCTTCCTGATGGGTGAGCACACTGAGCTGAGATGGTGATGTGCCTTCATTCCACAAGGAGAGTGTGTGGAAGCTGTCTCCTCCCAGAACTTGCCCTGTGTGTCTTCATTTCGTTGGTCTTCCTTTGTAATAAAAATGATCATAAACATAGTGCTTTCCTGAGTTCTGGTGGTCATTTTAGCAAATTTTTGAACCTGAGGGGTTCATGGAAACCCCCAGATTTGTAACCAGTTAGTTAAAAGTGGGCATGGACCCACTTGCTGCTGGCATCCAAAATGGGGGCAGTATTGTGGAAGACTGAGCCCTTAAACCTTGGGGAGTGCAGTGCTAACTCCCAAGTGGTTAGCGTCAGAATTGAATCGCAGTACCCTAGTTGGGGTTGAAAGGAAATACCAACAAAATCTTGTTTCTTACTGTTTGTCTTGTTAGGGAAACTTTAATTACTTGATTTTAATTTACATAGATGTTTTCTCCTGGGAAGGGTGCTATAATGAAAAACAGGGTGAGAAATACCGCCGTTAGAGGAAATGTGGATATAACTGAAAATTACTGTGCCAGTTACTGATGGCAGTTGGGCAGTTGGGATAGATAATTATAGTTTGTGGCTGTATTTTGTTTTTGTGATACTTTGAACTTACTTTAGTAGTCTCTAGATTTAATTATGAAGAATCTTTAATTAGTCAAAATGACTAAACCCAAGAACCAGTAATTCTTTTTTATTTTTTACATTTTATTTATTTTTGAGAGAGAGACAGAGCACAAGTGGGGGAGAGGCAGAGAGAGAGGGAGACACGGAATCCGAAGCAGGCTCCAGGCTCTGAGCTATCAGCACAGGGCCTGACGTGGGCTCGAACTCCCAAACCCTGAGATCGTGACCTGAGCTGAAGTTGGACGCTTAACCGACTGAGCCACCCAGGCGCCCCACCAGTAATTCATTTTAATTGTAGAAATTCTACTCATACAAATTGGAATAGGGTTTCTGACAACCTGGATTTTCAAAAAAACATGAAAACCTCACCATAAAAGCTTTTGAACAGACAAAATAACATGCAGTGTATGCATTTTACTCAGAAGAATCTCTCAGAATCTCTGCATTTGCTTTCAACAAGCTTAGAAGCACAGATGGAATAGTGAGCTATAAAAGGCAGGTACGTAAAGATATTACTAGGTGCTTGCTAACCACTAGATGGAAACAATTGCTTTCTACACTACCCATTTGCTTCATATAAATGGCCTCAAAAAAACTTTTGAGAGCAAAAAAAAAAAGCTCAGCCACCTACTGAAGCCCATGTTGATGACCCTGGTCATTAAAAATTCTAAACAAGAAAGGTAAGAGTCATACTTTCTAAAAAAAAAGATTTAAAGTTTACCAATATAGCATTTTGCCATTTGATGGGGCTCCAGTTACCTGATGGTTTCTTCCATGTAGGGTAAAACTGTTGGTGCCAGGCGTAAAGTGACAATCATGCCTGAGGAATTCAAAATGATGCGGAATTTGTCTTATATGGAAGAAGATTGTTTCTGTATAAATGAGCCTTGGTCAATGGGTTATTTTAGAAATTGCCAAACCTGGCCTAACAGTGGCTTTTTTTTTTTAATGTTGGAAATATTTCCAGCTAACCATTATGTGGCAAGATTGGCAAAATAAACTCCCAGTATGCCCTTCACCTATATTTAACCAATTGTGAACATTTGTAACATTAATTTATACATATGAGTAACTTGCTGACAGCTTGCTTCTTGCTTCCCAAATAGTTAAGCATATTTCTCTCCACAGGACCTTGAGTTTGTCCCAGTGTTTGGTGGTGGTAACTTTGACCATTTGAATGGAGTGAAACAATCATTTTGTTTCCAGTTAAAAGAATTGTTGACTAATTATAATTATTCTAAGTTAATTGTAAATATGTAAAATACACATAAAATCTGACATCTTAAAGGACCATCTTAAGTGTACAGTTAGTGACATTGTTCACTCTTGTTTGCAATAACCACTTCCTTTCATCTCCAGAAATCTTTTCATGTTAATAAAGTGAAACTACCCATTGAATAGTAACTCCACATTCTCTCCCTTAACCACCCCCCCCCCCCCCCCCCCCCCCCCCGCCCAGCACTGGCAATCACTGTTCTACTTTGTCTATGATTTTGACTATGACTCTTATATAAATGGAATCATACATTATTTATCTTTTTTGACTGGTGTATTCACTTAGCACAATGTTCTCAAGGTTCATTCATGTTGAAATGTATCAGCATTTTCTTCCATTTTAAGGCTGAATAATAAATACTCTTGTATGTAGATACCATGGTTAGCTTATCCATTCATCATCTGTTCATGGACATTTGGGTTGCTTTTACCTTTTGTTAATAATGCTGCCATGAACATGGGTGTGCAAATATTTCTTTGAGACTCTGCTTTCAATTCTTTGAAGGAATTCTACCCAGTGGTAGAATTGTTGGATCTTACGGTAATTCTAATCTTAAGGAACTGCCATTATGTTTTCCATAATGGCTGCACCATTTTACATTCCTACCAATAGTGCAAAGGATTCCAATTTGTCCACCACCACACCAACACTTATTTTTGGGGTGTGTGTGTGTGTGTGTTTTAATAGTAGCCATCCTAATGGGTGTGAGGTGGTACGTCATTGTGTTTTTGATTTGTATTCTGATGATTAGTGATATTGAACATCTTATTTTAGTGCTTTTGATACCTTCTTTGGAGAACTACTTATTCAAATATTTTGCCCATTTTTTAAATAAGCTGTTGAGTTGTTGGAATTCCTTATATATTGTGGATAATAACTCCTTATCAGATAAATAATTTGCAAATATTTTCCCCATTTCATTCTTTATTCTCTTTTTTTAATTTTATTTTTTTTCAATATATGAAGTTTATTGTCAAATTGGTTTCCATACAACACCCAATGCTCATCCCAAAAGGTGCCCTCCTCAATACCCATCACCCACCCACCCCCTCCCACCCCCCATCAATCATTCTTTATTCTCATTGAATGGCCTTGGTTCCCTTGTCAAAAGTCATTTCTGGGCTCAATTCCGTCAGGCTATGTCTGCCTTTGTGCCAGAGTGACACTTTTTTGTGGCGTTTTTTGCAACAAGAACCAAGTTTTGGTTTTTTTCTCACATTTGAAGTACCCCTTGGTGACATCCTTGGCCTGCAACTGTTTGCCATAGTCCTTAAGCACCGCAGAACAGCAACCAACCGCTTAATGGGGTTTTCCCTCTGTCAGTTTTACAGAGGCCTACCCATTCCCCTAATTTCTTATAACCTTAATTAGGTTGATTTTGGTGTTCAGCACAAAGGGCCTCCACCAACTTGACACACATAGGCTCATCACAGTTGGATATAAGCACACAAAGGTGGGTTTGGCCCTTGTCTCAGGCTTTGGCAGCTTCACGAATTCCACATGCTAGGCCATCATGGATGAGGGTGGTCTTCAGCACCTCTTGTAAAACAGTGTTAACCTCCATTACACTTCCAGCAGCAATGACTTCCTCAGTCATGGAGGTGGGTTATGGGTGGAGCCCAATTTTGAGTGCACCCAATCCTCTGCCTCCACATGACTGAGGGAAAGAGAGCATGGCACTGTTGTGATTACTATAGGTTTGTAGCAAATCCTAAAGTGTGAGTCTTCTAAATTTGTTCTTCAAGATTGTTTTGACTATTTGGGGTCCCTTGAGATTTCATATGAAACTTAGGATGGATTATTCTATTTCTTCGATAAACGTCATTGGGGTGTTCATAGAGACTGCACTGATTCCATAGATCACTTTGGGTAGTGCTGGACGTTTTAACAATATTAAGTCTTCCAGTCTATGAACACAGGATCTGTATATTCTCTTTCATTTCTTTGAGCAACATTTTGTAGTTTTCAGTGTGTAGGGATGTGTTTATAGACATTTTCTTTGTAGTTATGGTAATTACATATAACATACTAAGCTACAAATATTTTTAAACTGTAATTTCAATCACATGCAAAAGCTACTTTATAGTCTAGCCCTTTTTATGTTACTGAAATCATAAATCACATTTATATATATTGTGTACCCACTAACAGACTTCTAGTTATTTTTTATGCTTTTATATTTTAAATCCTGTAAAAGAAGTTATGATAATTATAAAACTAAGTTTTATATTTATCCGTGTAATTAGCTCTACTGGAAAGATTTACATTTTTGTATGGCTTCGAATTACTTACTAGTATCCTTTCAATTTGGGGGACCACCTTAAGCATTTCTTGTGGAGCTTGTCTATTGGTAGTGAATTTCCACAGCGCTTGTTTGTCTGGGAATGTGTTAAT